ATGGATTGCCGGTGAAGAAAAGAATGCAGGTCTCCTACAGCTCTCTGCACCAGCTGTACGTACACCCCAACACATGCAGCAGCAGCAGCAGCAGCATGAGAAGCAGCAGCAGCAGCATAGTCGAAGTCACCATCAGCAGCAGCACCACCCACGGCAGCACCATCGATATCATTATCATCAGCAGCAGCACCACCATCGGCAGCACCATAAGCAGCAGCAGCAGCAGCAGCAGCACAAGCAGCAGCAGCAGCAGCAGCACCTCGGCGTTCTCTGCAATGGAGCCTTTGAGGGAAAAGTCCTTCGGAGACATATGGGCGTAGCGGCTCAGCAGCTGCCGCACGGAGACAGGCAGCTGGGCCTTGAGGGCTTGCTGCTGCAGCTGCAGCGCAGCAGCAGCAGCAGCAGCAGCGGGGGAGCTGGGTAGGTCCTGCTCCTGCTCCTGCTGCTGCTGCTGCTGCTGCTGCAGTTGCTGCAGCTCGGGCTGCTGGTCCTGCAGCAGCTGCTGCTCCTGCGCCTGCTGCAGCAGCTGCTGCATGCGCTGCTTGAACTGCAGCGGGGACTCGTCGGGGTCAGCAGCAGCAAACATCCTTACAGTTGCTGCCTGGAGGCGGCGTGCTGCTGCTGCTGCTGCAGTCTCGTGCGGCAGCTGCTGCAGCGGGGCCATGTCTGCTGCCCAGCCAGCAGCAGCAAATGCTGCCAGCTCGCTGGGGGGCCCCCCGAGGCCCCGGGGCCGCAGCAGGGCCCCCAGGCCTTTGCCCAGAAGCCACTGGGGCTCTAAACTGAATTGCTGCAGCTGCTGCTGCTGCTGCGGGGTCACTGCAGCAGGAGGGACAGTGACGGGGAAGTCTGCTGCTTCTGTTGCTGCTAGAGTTGCTGCCAGCGGGTCTGCTGCTGCCAGCGCGCTGCCTTCTGCTGCTGCTGCTGCTGCCAGCGCTGCAGCAGCAGGGCCCGTGCCCTTGTGCGGCGGCTGCTGCGCGTTCTTTGCTGCTGCCTGCAGTAGCTGCAGCAGCAGCGGCGGCGGCTG